AACCAGTCAGCCACTGGTAATGGCTGTATAATTTTCTTAGTGTTCGGTGAAAATATCGCAATGCATCGCAATATTTCAAGTATCATGATGCATCGTCATAGAATCGCATCGTGGCATGTGAATCGTGATTCGAATCGAATCATGACTTCTTTGCCAATACCCACCACTAGCATACACTGTGAAATATTTTCACTCGGTGCAGGCAGCTACAGCTCAAACAGTACAACAAAACCGCAGGGTTTAAAAGTTCTCCTGACCTTATGCTCCCTGATCAGGAGGTGGTTGTGAGAGGCAGATCTCACCTCGTTACCTCCTGTACTCTACACGACGTGCGATCAGGCTGAAACTCTGCCTGATAGAAAAACTATCACATGACTGGAAAATCGGCCCGAAAAGGGCAAAAAAATCCTACAGTGTATGCCCGGCTTAAATAAGATTTTATTGGTTTATCTGTTTATGCTCAAGTTTAAATAATAAACCAAATTGGTTGTGGAGGGCAAAAGTGCCCCCTGCTGGACATGCAAAAAAACAAAGCCTGGAAGGATGGGAGGAAGGTAAGTTGAAGGATAGAGGAACAGAGAATGGCAGCTAAATCATTTAGTCAGTGGAACATTTACTAAAAGTACAATTTCATTTTTCTATTTTTTTTTCACACTTATTTAGATCTAGAAAACACCTTGGATCCATCCAGGTTGCCCCAGTCAGACCCTGATGAAACTAAACTCTCCTGGAACTTTCATTTGGTTGATAAGAACCTGGGACTTTTAATCACTGCTGTGACGATGATCCCAATGAGGGCAGAAGACTCCTTCACATCAGATCTACCTGGTTCTTTACAACCTGCCAGTCAGATAAAAGTCTGAGTTTCTTAACCCTGGTAACACGCTTTTTTCTATAGGTTTTGTCAGAGCATGACTAACTGGATCGCCCACTGGAGTATTCTGGGGGTCAAATTAACATTGAATCATGTTTACAGAGGAAAAACGTAAACACTAGCCAGAATCTAAGAAAACTGATTTGAGAGACTTGGAGAACAAATGGAGAGCTATTTCTAGGGTCACATGTTGGAAGACTGTCAGAAAAACCTGGTACGGAGCAGCCGGATCAAATATCTGTTGCTGGAAGAATAGATGGGCTGTATATGAAGCTTTAATGCAGAGGAAATGTAGTAAAGCAGCGATGCATTAAGAATTTTGAATGTTTATTGGGAAGCATTTACCTTTTCTTGAGCTTTTTTCCGAGCCTGGATCTCCTGCCGCTCCTCTGCAAGTTTTTCAGCAAGTAGTGAAAACTGAGGGGGAATAAAATGCATCTCATTACTGCGGAAATGAGCCAATTTATTTCCCTGATAGCTTTTTTTTTTTTTGTGGAAGGTTTGTATCTTACCTGATCCTTGTAGTAGTTCTCCAAGGACTCGATCTGATCCTGGTGTCGTCTCTGATGCTCCAGTCGCTGCTCCTTGGCGTAGGCTCTCTGCTCCCTCACTCTGAGCTTCTGTAACTGCAGACCTTCTTCAAACAGCTGCCGAAACATCTGCACACAGATAGATCCACATCTGTCTCATTTTTACAGGTAAAACAAATATTCAGAGTAAAAAGAAAAAGTCAACAGAAAACTTCAAAGTTAAGCTCTAATTTTCTTTGTTGCTTTTTTTCTTAAACTATAATCTTAGAAAATAAATAAAAAGTGGATAATTTGGAAGAATTAAACAGCCTAGACAGGAACAGTTATATATTCTAACATGTTGTTAGCATGATGATACTGCCCACCTTCTCCTCCTTAGTGCGAGCCCTCATGAGGCGGGCGCGGTGCTGAACATGGTAGTCGTTGTGGTATTTCTTAGCTCGGGCGACCTGCTGCCTCTGCTCCCTCAGTCTGTTCTGCACAGACTTCTGCTGCTGGATCCGCTCTTTGAAATCCCGCTGAAACATCAACATTGACTCATTTAAAAATCCCCACGTGTGAGAGTGCAGCTGGTGGGCGAAAAACTAGTTCATGTATTTTTACACGTCTGCTAATCGTATGGGTCTGCTGATGCTCACCAGACGTCTGCTGTGGTCCTGGTCTTTATGCACGAGATCCACCAGCAGGTCATGTTTCCTCTGAGCTTCCTCCAACTTAAAGACAAGGAGGAGTTTATGTTACAAAGATCACAGATGTTAGCTCTGACCAAGCAGAGGAAGAATGTCTGATATTTTGCAAACTAAACTATGCAAAATAGTTCCTTCAAAAGTTTTGGATTTGACCATTTCCCAACTTTATTCCCTTTTCTTCTATTTTCCTTCTTCCGCTTCTCCTCTTAGTAAGTTGCGCTTAATTATTTTAAATTGAACATAAAGGAGGAAGAACTCTGCAAACCAAAGTCTGAGATGTTTACATGAAAGTTTGTGTGGGAATAATAACTGCATCTGATGTCAAACCCAGGAATTAGTCCATGCCCAACTCATGCAATAACATCATGTTTTAATAGATACGGCAGTGTGCAAAATCTCAAAAAGTGAGGGAAAATGTGCAAGGGAAACTAATTCTCATGCATTTGAACTAAAAACCTATCATATATGTTTTGTTAAACAAAGCGTACATCGCGCTGTGGTTATTTTAGGATTCTTCAACTCTTCTCACCTGCTTGGAGAGTTTGTAGTGATGTGGACTGTGCGAGGAGGATGAAGCACGGAGTCTGTCCACCTGCTGCATTTGCTGCTCCCACATTCGGCCCAAAGCATGAGGAGAGACTTGAAGGTGAGGCAGTTCCTCCCGCAGCAAAGGGAGAAGTTCATTCTCTTTTATTCTCACTGGTTAGAGGGAGATGGAGAGAAAATATCATCATGTTTGCCAAAATCAAACCAGCGGCTGCATCCTAATATTCACTGCTTTTAGATTATGCTTGGGGGGGATCTTAGATATTGGAAATAGAAGCCATTACACAGAACTATTAAGTCCTGTTAGCTGGAAATGAAGCATCGGTTGATCACCTGTTTGTCACAGAGATGCTTGACTGGACTGAGAATTGTGCAACTTATAGGCCACTTATTGTGCACACACTCTGCTCAGATATGATATACGCACCTCTCATCCTCCTCGATGTTCCTGCAACATGTCACCTTATCTGTGTTGCTTTTGCTATGTGATTTAAGTTTTTTTGCAAACTCAAACTGTATCCTGCTAAGGATTTAAGTATGATATATGACTTTTTTCTATTCCCTTGCCTATTGTTATCCCTTTCTTTTTGTTTTTCCTATTATAAAGGGGCAGCACCTTTTAACAGCAGCGACGCCCCGGACCTCCCGTCTCCCCCATGTCTGTATATTGTCTGTGTGTTTTGTATTTCCTTGGATGGGCTGTACCGAAACTGAAATTTCGCTCTACTGGAGTGCCACTCCAGGCTGGGTGACAAAGAAATCTTGAATCTTTTATATAAAAACCGCAACCATTATCACTTTTCTGCTTTGTGGAAGCAAAAGCTTAAAGGTTTTCTGTTATTGAGGCAAACCATTCTATGACAATTCCAACTAAATGAACCGGTATTTATTTAAAATATCACAATGAAGGCAAAATAACTTGTTTTATGTCTAGAGGTTTTTGTCTAGACTCTCTGTCATAACAACTGGAAAACAGGCTATAACCTGCATCTGTTAGAATATCACATTTTCCAAACAAAAAGGTTATTTTATTAATAAATATATTAAAGGGAACCGGGCCCAGACCAGAGGGCCATGAAACACCAATAGATAAACAGGTTTAGAAGGGGAATGCAGATCTAAGAAAACATCTAGGGATAATAGTTAGGTCTATAAGCAACAGTTTTATTTACAAAATAAAAAGAAACACAGGAACCTTGTTTTCTCGTTCCTGTCTAATAATTTATATCTGTTATTTGCAGTCAGTCTGGAGCTTCAGTTAGCCATTTACTGTACAGTAGTAGCCATTACATTTTCCCCACTTTCCTTGATGGGTCCTTAGCTGGTCCCCTACAATTCCTCTTAAACATCAATCTTTGTACTAAAATATTCTTTCTGTCATGATTTGTGGACATTATGATCTAAAGAGAAGCGTTATGTCCTGGTCCGACCCTGTAATTCAGTTAAAGGGTGGAGTCACTTCTAGAGGGGGTCACTGCAGTGGCTGGAAGTGGGCGGCCGTTCTGCTGGCGTTTGACTGGGAAGGGCCATTTTAAATGGCTGCTACTGTAAAGGTTTTTACTTACATGATGGAGCTTTCTTGGGGCCGCCGAGGCCTTTTTGTGCGACTGGTTGTGCTGTTCGTGTTTTTTTACGTTGCGTCTTTGTTTTGCTGGGAGACGGTCTGGATGACGGGGAAACATCTCGTAGGATGGCCTCCCTGTACTCTTGCTCCTGCAGACAGAACACACCTCCATGCTTTAAGCTGGCTTGTGTTGAAACATTTCAATCATGTTGATCTCATCAATAAATACTGGGCGGTCTCTCACAGCAAGAAAATGGTGCATAGCTTTATAACATTTAGAAAATATTTCCGCTCATATATTTCATGTAACAGTTTAGTAGCAGAATTATAAAGCATTTACACATTTTTAAAGCATATCTTGAATGCTTATTCTTGGCCACTTTAATACTAATACAGTATGTTTATAACTTACAGCCTTCTGAGCATTGAGGCGGGCTTTGTGTAGTTTTGTCCGCTCTCTCTCTTCATATCCCCTCAGCTCCTCTTCATAAGCTTCATTCTCCAGATGCTGAAAAATGCAGAGTTTTAGGTATAACACTTAAGAAGTCAGGCACACATTGCTTCATGTAAAGCAAATGTTTTAAACCGTTGGTTCTCAGTCATAAAAGACATTAGAAACAAATAATCAAGCAAAAACTTTTATTTGAAGGAACCAAACCTGGTTGTAATTTCTCCGAGGCGGCCTGAGGTGTGACTCTCCCTGTTTTAAAGGGTCAGTAACTTGGAGGTTAGTCTGTCTCCCGTCATCCAGGCTCAAAGCCTCTGCAATGGCTTCCTCTAGCTGTCCGTGTAAGGAGCTAGGATCGCGAGGAGGAGAAGGTGACGCAGAGCATGTTTGCTCAGTGGATTGCGGATCAGGTGAGCCTGTGGGCATTAAATGTAAAGTTTAACACATAACAAGACTGTAGGTGAGATTATTCTGTGTGGAGAATATCATATGGATAAAACTCTAACCTATGCATTGTCTTAAAGTCCTCTGACCCTCCATGATGCCGTCACTGCAGCCGGACTGCCTGTCCTCCTCCCTCGTTTCACTGGACTCATCACTTTCTCCCAGAACTCGTTTCAGCATCTACAGATATTTGGGTTGTTTGCATTAAAGGCACATCACAGAAGATTTGTTCTGCACCTGACGTCATACACTGGTTTGACTCGCACTCATTATAGCCACAGTCTTCTTAGAGATTCTGTTTTGTAGATGTTAAAAACATATCCTCATCTTTTAGGAGTGGATTGAGACGTTCCTCTAGGTTTATCACCAGGCCTTGTTCTGTTTTCCTTATATGTTCTACCTAAGGGCTACATTACCATGAAATATCAACCTCTAAACGGATGACAATCAGCTATATCAGTCCAGTTTATTTACATAGCACCAATTCACAACACATGTCATCTCAAGGCACTTTACAATTCAACCAGCTCATCCAGTCAAATTGATTCAAAGTTTTCTATCTAAGGAAATTCCAAAAAAGTAAAAGAAAAAAAAAAAAAAACCCACTGGACTCTGTTTCCAAGTATGAAGATGTTTCACCTCCCATCCAGGAAGCTTTCTCAATTCAAAAAGCCTTGTTTTAACTTAGAAAATTAGCAAATTGAACCCGAGGAAAGGGTCCGCCCCTTGGGAATGGGGGTCGTTGGGTTCTTTGTTAGCCTGCAATACCTGATACCTGTCTGTGTCTATCTAAGGAAAACCAGTTGATTGCATCGACTCATTGACTCTTCAGCAATCCCTCACAGTGTAACCTGATAAATGCAGGGACCAAAAAATATGATGGCATCAAGCATTGGATGCCCTGTAGATTTTATATGATTATTATCATAAAGATTAACCAGTAATTTGAAAACTAAAATCTTTTTTGGTGGCTTCTCTAATATTTTCATTTGTCACTGAATGCAGCAATCAAAAGAAACATTAATAATTGCTTTAGATAGATTCTGCATGGTCCTCCTCAAAAATAACAATAACTAGCACTATGCTAGTTAACATACAGGCCAACAATATTCCAACACTTCAGCCATCTCTGGTTGTTAACACTGCTTAGGCATAATAACATGCTATACATATATGAATAAAAATGGGGTAATTTAGGTCAATTATCTAGAAAAGAGAGCAATGGGGTGAGAGTGTGAATGACTGCTGCTGTGTCTC